CCACCAACCCAACAGACATACAAACAACCATCAAATACTACATGAAAACATATATAAACACAAACTAGAAAACCTAGAAGAAATGAATAAATTCCTGGAAATATACACCTTTCCAAGACTGAGCCAGAAAGAAATTGATTCTCTAAGCAGACCAATCATGAGTTCTAAAACTGAATCAGTAATAAATATCCTACCAACTGAAAATAGCACAGGACCAGAAAGATGCACAGTCAAATTCTACTAGGTGTATAAAGAAGAGATGGTACCATTTCAACCAAAATCATTTTTTTAAGTTAAGGAGGAGGAACTCCTCCCCAATTTATTTTATGAGACCAGCATGATCCTGATAACAAAAAGCAGAGACATAGCCAAAAAAGAAAACTTCAGACCAATATCCTTGATGAACATTGATGCAAAAATCCTCAACAAAATACTGCAAGTAGAATCTAGCAGCACATCAAAAAGCTCATCTACCATCCTAAAGCAGGCTTTATCCCTGGGTTGCAAAGTTGGTTAGACATATATGCAAATCAATAAATATTATTCATTACACAAACAGAACTAAAGACAAAAACCACATAATCATCTCAATAGATGTAGAAATTTTTTCTGATAAAATTCAGTATCACTTCATGTTAAAAACTCTCAACAATCTAGGTGTTGAAGAAACATACCTCAAAGTACTTAGTGCCTTCTGTCACAAATGCACAGCCAACATCACACTGAATGAACAAAACCTGGAAGCACTTCCCTTGAAAACTAGCACAAGACAAGGATGCCTCCTCTCACCATCCTATTCAACAAAGGACTGGAAGACCTGGCTACAGCAATTAGGCAAGAGAAAGAAGTAAGGGGCATTCAAACAGGAAGATGGGAAATCAAACTACCCTGGTTTGCAGACGACATGATTCTATACCTAGAGAACCTCATAATGTCGGCCCATGGCTTCTTCAGCTGATAAACACTTCAGCAAAGTTTCAGAATACAAGTCAACACACAAAATCAGTGGCATTCCTATATACCAACAGCAGCCGAGCCAAGAGCCAAATAAGAAATTCAATCCCATTCACAACTGCCACAAAAAGAGTAAACCACCAAATAATACAGCTAAACAGGCAGGTTAAAGATCTCTACAATGAGAATCATGAAACACTGTCTAAAGAAACCAGAGGCTCACACCTATAATCCCAGCACTTTGGGAGGCCGAGACGGGTGGATCATGAGGTCAAGAGATCGAGACCATCCTGGTCAAAATGGTGAAACCCCGTCTCTACTAAAAACACAAAAAATTAGCTGGGCATGGTGGCGTGTGCCTGTAGTCCCAGCTACTCAGGAGGCTGAGGCAGGAGAATTGCCTGAACCCAGGAGGCGGAGGTTGCAGTGAACCGAGATCACACCATTGCACTCCAGCCTGGGTGACAAGAGTGAAACTCCATCTCAAAAAAAAAAAAAAAAAAAGAAACCGGAGGTGGCAAAACCAATGGAAAAGCATTCTATGTTCATGAATAGAAAGAATCTTTATCATTAAAATGGCCGTCTACTTAAAGCAATGAACAGATTCAATGCTATTCCTATCAAACTACCAATGACATTCTTCACAGAACTAGAGAAAACTATTTTAAAAATCATATGAAACCAGAAAAGAGCACAAATATCTAAGGCAATCCTAAGCAAAAAGAACAAAGCTAGAGGTATCACAGTATCTGACTTCAAACTACATTGCAAGGCTACAGTAACCAAAACATCATGGTACTGGTACAAAAACAGATACATAAGCCAATGGAACAGAATAAAGAACCCAGAAATAAGACTGCCCACCTACAGCTATCTGATCATCTGACCTGACAAAAAATGAGCAAGGGGGGAAAGATTCCTTATTCAACAAGTGGTGCTGGCAGAAGTAGCTAGTCACATAGAGAAGATTAAAACTGGATCCCCTCCTCACATCATATACAAAAATCACCTCGAGATGAATTAAAATCTTAAATGTACAACCCAAAATTATAAAATCTCTGGAAGACAACCTAGGCAATGCCATTCTAAACATAAGAACTGGGAAAGATTTTATCATGAAGATGCCAAAAGCAATTGCAACAAAAGCAGACAGTGAAAATGGAGATCTAATTAAGCATAAGAGCTTCTGCACAGGAAAGGAAGCCATCAACAGAGGAAATGACACTCTACAGAATGGGGGAAATACTGTGAACCACGCATCTGACAAAGGTGTAATATTCCAGATCTACTAGAAACTTAAACAAATTAACAAGCAAAAATCAACCAGCACCATTAAAAAGTGGGCAAAGTGTAATCCCAGCACTTTGGGAGGCCGAGGAGAGTGGATCATGAAGTCAAGAGATCGAGACCATCTTGGTCAACATGGTGAGACCCCATCTCTACTAAAGATACAAAAAATTAGCTGGGCATGGTGGTGTGTGCCTGTAATCCCAGCTACTCGGGAGGCTGAGGCAGGAGAATTGCCTGAACCCAGGAGGCAGAGGTTGCGGTGAGCCGAGATCGCGCCATTGCACTCCAGCCTGGGTGACAAGAGCGAAACTCCGTCTCAAAAAAAAAAAAAAAAAAACAAGTGGGCAAAGGACATGAACAGACACTTTTCAAAAGAAGACACACATGCAGCCAACAAGCACACGAAAAAAGCTTAATATTATTGATCGTTAGAGAAATCCACACTAAAGCCACAATGCGACACCATCTCACACCAGTCAGAATGCCTATTATAAAAAGGCAAAAAAATTGCAGATGCTGCTAGGTCACAGAACTTACGCATTGTTGGTGGAAGTGCAAATTAGTTCGACCTTTGTGGAAGGCAGCGTGGTGATTTTTCAAAGATCTAAAAAACAGAACTAGCATTTGACCCCGCAGTCCCATTAGGCATATATATCCAAAGCATATAGATTGTTCTATTATGAAGATACATGCACATATATGTCCATCACAGTACCATTCACAAGGGCAAAGACATGAAATTAACCTAAGTGCCCATCGGTGGTAATAGACTGGATAAAGAAAATGTGGTACATATACACATGGAATACTACACAGTTATGAAAAAGAACAAGAACATGGTCTTTGCAAGAACATGAATGGAGCTGGAGGCCATTATCCTTAGCAAACTAATGCAGGAACAGAAAACCAAATACTGTATGTTCTCACTTATAAGTGGAAGCTAAGTGTTGAGAACCCATGGACCCAAAGGGCAGGATGATACAGAATGGGACCTATTTGAGGGTGGAGGTGGGAGGAGGGAGAGAATCAGAAGAAAAATAACTATTGGGGCTTAGGCTTAGTACCTGGGCAATGAAATAATCTGCACAACATACCCCATAACAGGAGGTTCCCTGCATAACAACCCTGCATATGCATATGAACGTAAAATAAAAGTTTAAGAAAAAAGAAAACTAATATTCAGCCTGATTACAAGTTACAAAGCAGTGGTAGTGAATCAGGAATCGCTGATGTGTGATCTGCATATGAAAGACACATAACGGGAAGTGAAAGCAATTCCGGAAATCTCGGACCAAAAAAGAATACCAAGATAAATCTCGTTTTAGGCTGGGAGCACCCACGCATATTGGTTATTTAGAATGAATTAACTGGAACTGAACTGAGCAGGAGTCTGACAACAGATCGAAGCCCCTTCTGAGGCAAAGCTCTTCTCTGTGGCTTGGAAAAGAAGAATAAATATATTAATGTACTTCTCCGGGTGCTTGGAGAATTTGCAGGATAATGTCTGTAATGAACTCTAAGCTTCTTAAAAAATAATCCTTGCAAAGTCATGCAGGGAGACTCATTATCACGGTGTCCTCAGGAGAAGCCAGGCCAGGTGAGAAGTGTGTGGCATTATAATGACGTCCTGGTGGTGTCTGGAGAATCAGACCCCCACGGATGCAGCAGAGCAGCCCATATGCTACACAGAAGTCCGGAAAACTCATTTGTGCACCATGAGCAGATGCTTGTTTTCTGTGTGGGTGGAGCCGCACCTGTGTGGCGGGACTCATACAGAGGCATCTCTGAGTTCCCCATCTTCCCGAACTCCTCCTATGTGCAAACCGATAAATAAAAAGGTCCTGTCTCTGACTCTTTGATGGTATCTCACGGTAATGCTCACATTTAAACACAAACAGACAAATAAAATGATGAGAACAAAAAGACCTCTGTAAGATCTGCGACCCCTGTGGATTGCATGTCGTTTTGTTGTTGTTGTTGTTGTTTTGAGATGGACTTTCACTCTTGTTGCCCAACCTAGAGTGCAGTGGCATGATCTTGGCTCACTGCAACCTCTGCCTCCCTGGTTCAAGTGAGTCTCCTGCCTCAGCCTCTGGAGTAGCTGGGACTACAGGCATGTACCACCACTCCCAGCTAATTTTGCATTTTTAGTAGAGACGCGGATTCTCCGTGTTGGTAAGGCTGGTCTCGAACTCCCGACCTCAGGTGATCCCCCGCCTTGGCCTCCCAAAGTGCTGGGATTACAGGTGTGAGCCACTGCGCTCTGCCACCTGTGATTTTTTAGAAGCGTCCACAAAGCCTGTGGAGGGACAGTGAGCTGGGAATAGAAATCTCATGTTCCTGGGCTTGTGCTTATGAAATCCAGAGAAATGAGATTAATGGTCTCACTGTATCGAGAACTGGGCGTTTTGATAGAGTTGTGTCCTCAAAATGACTTCCTTTCTGAGGCAGGAAGCAGCCGACAGGCTTCCTAATAAGCTTGTGATTTAGTTATCTGACCATGAGCACGTCCCTGACCTCTCTGACTCAGTTTCCTCATCTGTGAAGTGGCGGGGTTGCTGTGATGCCGCAGCACTCACAGGAGGGGCCGCATGACGCGCCTGGTGCCACTGTCATGGTGCGCCCTGCATTGCAGAGTCCCTGGTGCCCTGGACTGTGCTCTGGACGGTGCTCTGGAAGGCGGGCGAGGGAGGCTGGACGTTTCCATGGGCCGAAGCGTTCTCACGCGTCGCCTCCCACCTGCGCTCAGGGTGCCCAGGAACCTCGCGTGTTTCTCAGACGTCACCCACCTTGGAGGAACCCGAGTTCGCAGCCCTTCTGAGCGACCTGCGGACATACCTGCCAATGGTGACGGGCGCGCCGGGGGTTCCTGGCAATCCCGATGCAGGCCTCGGGTCTCAGGAGGCGCTGACATTAAAACAGCGGACAGCCCGGCACTCCAGGCACGTGGGAAAGCCGCGCAGGTGCCACGACCTCCTTAGATGCTGTTTCCGGTGTGAAACGGTTTTCTAAAATGTAAACGAGGCGTTGTAAAGCCCCTGTTTCTTCTAACTCTGCAGCGCCTGGCGGACCCGGGCACGGAGGTGACACGCTCCGGCTGCCTCCGCTCGTTTTTGTCCTTTTTGTCTGCGGCGCCCCCTCCTCCGTCCACCCCCACTGCGTTCAGAACGGCCGTTAACGAGGCGCTCTAATTAGCAGCGCTTTGAGGTGAGCTTGGACACTTGAAGTAGTTCTCGCTCCCCAGGCTTTCTTCCTCGGTAATAATTAAACACTGAGGACCAGATATTCAAACGGCTTCGCTGAGACGACGGCCGCCGTTCCCTGGAAATGTCAGGAGTGCACGAGGTGCGAGTCTTCAAAGCACCCCTGGAAAGTTTGCAGGCTCACGATGCGGCATCGAGAATTTCAATGAGAACTGTTTCAAAGGACCAAGAAACAGGAATTTACGCAGGTCGGAAGAAAATACGTTGGTTACAGTTACAATAAAGATCTTAACTATGTTCAAAATACGTTGCTTACAAGAAGGGAGTTCGTTTTTCTTAATCTCCAAGTGCACATTATGTATTTCATTTGCGTCACATTTGGGTAATGTTTCATAAAGGCGGCTGACAGGAGAATTTAAAATTAAACGGAGGTTATCTGCGTCCCACACCTGCAGGGTGGAAGGAGGTTTAACCTGGTCCAGCAGCTAACCCCACACAGGACGCCTCGCGGTGGGAGAAATCCGCCGTGGTGAGAGCAGTCGCTACCAAACAGACAGCCGCTGTGCATGGGGCTGGATTTATTGTTTTTTTGATCATCTAGACTTGAAAGAGTAACGGATACGACTCTAAGATGTGGTGTTTCTACAGCCATCACATTGCAAATGGCACAGAAACTAAGGGAGCATTCTTTTAATCCAAAGAGATGGCAGAACTCGGCAAAGAACTTGCTCTCGTCGTTGCACTGATGAACAAGTCCCAACACATGTCTTCGCTGTTTCACTTTTGTCTTGTTAATATAAATAAGAGATCAACCAACGTTCACGTCAGGACTTCAGTTCATTACGTGTGTGTGTTTTGTTTCCCATGGAGGCACCGCTGAATCTCTCGGTTAGATCCTGCTGACGGGTTTGAACGCTCTACGCAAGCACTTCCCACAGGAACACCAACACGTGTTCTCTCGGCGGGAGAGGAGAGCCAAGTGCTGTCCAAAGTGACTGTTGATCAGCTCCACGCCCTCCGTCAGTTCGCACCTTTTCATTCTGACTCTCCGCGAGGTTCCTGTGTCTCTGCGAAGAGCTGCTCATCCCGTCAGTCAATCTTATTTTGTTTTTGTTGTCCTGTCTGTGTCTCCAGAGATCTTTCTAATTTCTGCATCATAACTACTCACTGCTTCCTTACTGCTACCTTCTCCTGTCCTCATCTCTCAAACCGCAAGGACCTGGATGGCAGGCAGGCAAACCGAGGTGTACACAACCGAGGCAGGGCCGCATCTTCTCGGGCGGGAGCAGGACTGCCAAGGAAAGGGGGACCAGTGGCCTGGGAGTCTCCAACCCTCTGCTGCAACTAAAGAGGAAAATATGCTTTTGACTTAACGCTGACAACGGGCTGTCTGGTGGTGGGCAGGATTTGCAGCCTGTATCCCAGGTCTTCCAGATTTGGGGGTGGGTCGGGCCGTAGGCACAGAGGACTGTGATTGTCCCTCCCTGGCAAACCCCTCCTGGCTCTCTCTTAGGGTCTCCAGCATGCCTCACCTCGAGTGAGGACCTTGAGATGACCCTCTGGGCCCTGCTTTTCTCTCCCCATCCCCTGGGGTTGTTTCTGATGCTGGTGCCTAGATCAGCAGCTCTAACACCAGTGCCCCACACAGGTGGGCATCGGGCTGCGGCCCGTAGACACTGCTCACAACCACCAATGCCACCTGCCAGGGCTGCTGTGGTCCAGACACAGGAGGAGCCGCTGGTGCCAAGTCAGTTGGTAGCTGGCCCTTTCCAGGAGCCTCAGAGAAAATGGGTTCAGTTTCCCTGTTGATCAGCCTTCCCAGAGGGAGGTGGGCAGGAACCCAGGTGGCCTGGGCTGCAGGATTCGGAACCCCTCCCCCTTCTTTGGTGAATCATAAAACTTAATCCCAGGGCCCCAGGGGGCTTCTGGAGGCACACACACTTGGGCCCTCCCACATGCCCAGGTTTCTAGCCCTCAGGGGCCTCCGCCCAGGGACCCTCCTTGGGTCCTGTGACTGTGAGAGGCCCCCCGTTAGAGGAGACAGCCCTCAACTACCTCAGAGTCGGGCTGTGTTTCACCCAGGTTCATGTGTTTCTCCACCGACAACTGTGATGGGCTGAATCGTTCCCCCAAAAAGTTATATATCGACGTCCTCACTCCCCACACCTCAAATGCCGACTGTATCTGAAGACAGTCTTTAAAGAGGTGATTAGCTGAAAATGAGATTATACAGACGGCCCCTAATCCAATCCAGAGGTGTCCTGATAAGAAGGAGAAGTTCGCACACCGACAAGCAGGGCCACAACCCGGTGACGACCCGGGAAGACAGACTCGCTGTCTGAGCCCAGGAGAGAGGCCCCTCGAGGAACCACCTGCGGACAGCTTACCCTCGGGGAGCAGCTTCCAGAACTGCGAGGGAATAAAGGCCGTGTTTAAGGCCCCGTCGGTGGTGCTTTGTCATAGAAGCCAAGCGTAGGAACGCAGCCACCAAATGTCCCCAAGCACATGTCTGTCTCCAGGGCCTGTGCGTTTGCAGCCCCTGAGGACCAGGGTTGCACAGTTTGGATCACGTCAGAGCATGTGTCCATCCATAACTTATCACAGCATTATGTCCACGGATGTTCCATTGCTCACAGTACCTGACTCACAACATGCACAGCTTTGAAAGGAGCCGTGTGTTCAGCCTGGATCCAGGTGATCGATCGGGAGCCCAGATCCAAGATGAAGCAGGAACAGAAGCTCTTGACTGTCACACAAAGTCAAAGCGTGAGCAGGTCATGTGGACGCTTCTGAGGCCACAGGAAGGCGTGAGGAAAGACCTGAATGGAAATCTCATTTCCATTCAGTAGGTGGGCATATTACAAACAAAGGGAACAGGTGCCAAATCAGAGTCGGAGGGAGTCAGCTGCACCTTCACTCTGACCTGAACATAGCCGGAGGTGTGGGCCCCACGGCCGGCACCCCATTTAAAGACTCTGAGACTAGGTGGGGCCGGGCAACACAGCAAGTGTCCTGAGTGCTGGGGACTGGCCTTTCCATCGCTGCACTCGCTGTACCACACAGACCACAGGCGCGGGGGCGGGGAGCCTTTCCACCGCATTTTTACGAAATGAGCCCCCTTTCAAAGTGAAACAGTATTATGGATCAAAGCGTAGGTGGCTCCATATGTAAGGAAGAAACAGCCGGTGTCACCCTGGGCCACTCACACACGCTGCATGGACGCCCCCTCTCATTAAAAACGGGTCGGATTGCATTCCAGGCCCAGCCTGCAAAGTTAATGACAAGCTGGCAACAAAGCAGCTTGTGAGCCTTGTACTACAACGTGATTACCTACCTGCTTCTTATGAGTGGGTCTGAGCAGCGCCCGGCCGGCTGGTATTTGACCCACAGACAGGGAAGTTCCCAGGCGCTGCGAGGCTGACTCACTTCAAAGTCCTCGCCCTGCTGGCTTGGTTTACACCTGAGCCAATTAGCTCGGGCATCAGAAGAGGCCTGAAAACGGAGCCAAGCCCTTATTCCCGGGCTGGAGAAAGTCACTTGATCCCAGGTAAATGATACAGGAAGAACAATGGAGGGGAGGGGGGGCAGTAGGGCTCTGTGCCCCTTGGAGGAACTGAGACGCAGGGACTGGGCGTTGGCGAGTACTGAGGGCCAGGCCCGCGCTCAGGGTGTTTGTTGAGCTTCTGTTGGTAACAAAGGGGCAAATTGAAATGAAGCTGTCTGCAGTCTGTTTGCCGCATATCAAATATGCTGTCAGATATGCTGATTTGCGCTTCTGCTGAATTATTGAACATTGAGCTTCCAGAAATCGGGCAGTTGGGGGAGGCCCAGGAGGAGGGGCCCAGCTGGAGCAGCACTGCCTTCTGAAAGTTCCACTGCGTCTGCGGAAAAAATGGAGGCTTCCTGTAATCCCAGCACTTTGGGAGGCCGAGGCAGGCAGATCACCTGCAGTCAGGCGTTCGAGACCAGCCTGACCAATATGGTGAAACCTCTTCTCTGCTAAAAATACAAAAATCAGCTGAGCATGGTGGTGGGAACCTGTAGTTCCAGCTACTCAGGAAGCTGAGACAGGAGAATGGCTTGAACCCAGGAGGTGGAGGTTGCAGTGAGCAAGCTGAGATTGTGCCACTGCACTCCAGCCTGGGGACAGAGTGAGACTCCGTCTCAAAAAAAATGAAAAAAATAATGGAGAGCCCAGTGCCCCCGTGTCCCCTGAACCCTCCTCAACTCCCAGTCATGTGAACCTGCTGAAAAGGCCTCGGGCCGAGGCAGGTGAGGCTGGCCACCATTTTTTGGTTCACTTTGGTCAAGCCTGTGGCTGGACGAGCCTCCTCCAAAGAGCAGCTGTCTGTCCACATGACACGTGCGATGCTTACACCTCCCGCACGTGGAGTAGGCCAAAGAATAGGACCTACCGGAGTCAGATCAAAGTTCTGCTTATTAAATAACCGTGTTCCCAACACCTTCCCGAGATGAGGAGACACGTTTTGGTGTTGGAGACACAGGATGAAGGAGGCACAGCTGCACCCTGTGGTGGTTGGCCTCTGTCTGGCAAGGAGTGAGGGGCGCAGGCATCCCTGCTGCTGGCATCACATAGGCGATGGCATCACACGGTATTGCAGAAACGGGAGTGGAACAGGGTTCCCTTTAGAAAAAACAAAGCGGCAGCAGAATACGCACATTTTCGAGAGCTGGTGCATGTATGTGGGTGCGTGTTCCTGTGTGTGGACACGTGCGTGTTTCTGTACAGTGTGCTGAGTGGTGCAGAAGTACGACCAGGGACACGTCAGGTAAACCCATGTCACAGGGTCCCAAACACAGTGGCCAGAATGATTCACTTACTGAAAGCCCCAGCTGATGTCTTGATTAAACGCCTTCATAACTCAGGATACGTTTCATTTTCACAGTAAGTTGGAATTACACTCCCGAAATCCACGGTAAATTGGGATTACACCCCCGAAATCCACGGTAAGTTGAATTACACCCCTGAAGTTTTGCAATAAGACGAAATCTCAGGCATTTTTCTCTGTGATGCTTCAGATGACTGCGTCTCAAGGGATGGAAAATCGGCTCTTCCCGTGGGATTAGAGATCATGCCAACTAGAAGGCCCTCTTCGGGCAACTCACTTGGAGTTTAGCCAAGACGTGCATAATTATTTTTCTAATAATGGGAGAGTGAAAGCCACGGCCTGTGGGTGTGTCTGGCTGTGTAGTGAAGTCGTGACCACAGCCTATCATAGGGGGGGATGGGGTGACATGAGGCTCATCTCCTAGAGGAGAACCTGCCCACTGCACATGGAGGAAGAAGAGGTCAGGGCCCCCAGGGGACTCGAAGATGCTGGTGGCCAACTTGGGCCAGCTTCCCAGGTTTGCCCTCTGTCCTCCTGCCAAGCCCTCCTGGAGAAAGGGCCTTTCTGCCTTCACCAGGTCCTGGATACTGAGCCTGCTCTGCACTCATGGTAGACATTTGGAAGGGTAGTTACAGGAGAGAGGGGCAAACACAGAGTACTCCAGATTTAGTTTCCAAAACAGCATCCTCTTCTTGGACCCATGTGCTCAGTTCTAAGGAAAGTGACAGAAGGTGTGAGGGTTCCTTTGAGGGCCCTGGAATCAATGTGACATGTGTCCTTCCTTCTCCCCTCACTGTTCCCACTCTGTCTCCTTCCAAGCAGAGCACCAGCACAGCCACACACATATGTACACACAGATATGCACATGCATCACTGGTGCATATATGCATGCATACAGCAAGGTACAGACACATGTATGCATCACTGGTATATGCACACACACACAGAGCACACACATGCATCACAAGTACACACACATGCACAGAGCAAGACACAGGCACACACATGCATCACAGGTGCATGCACACACATGCACACACACATCACAGACACGTGTGTACATGCAGACAACATGGGTACATGCATGCACACACAAGCACACACATACATCATGGGTACATGCACGCACAGAGGTGCACACACAGGTATGGGTGCATGCATGCACATACATGCATCACAGGTACCTGTGTGTATATACAGGTGCACACACAGGCATTGTGGGTACATGCAGGCACACACGTGCATTACAAGTATGTACACATGCACTCAGCAAGACACGGGCACATGCATACATCACAGGTACATGCACACACACATGCACATACATGCATCACAGGCACATGTGTGCACATGCAGGCATCACGGGTATGTGCATGCACACACACAGGCACACACATGTTGATATGGTTTGGCTGAGTCCCCACCCAAATCTCATCTTGAATTTCCACATGTTGTGGGAGGAACCTGGTGGGAGGTAACTGAATAATGGGGGTGGGTCTTTCTTGTTCTTTTCGTGACAGGGAATAGGTCTCATGAGATCTGATGTTTTTAAAAATGGGAGTCTCCCACACAAGCTCTCTCTTTGCCTACTGCCACCCGTGTAAGATGTGGCTTGCTCCTCCTTGTCTTCTGCCACAATTGTGTCACGGTTCCCCAGTCACGTGGAACTGAATCCAGTTAAACCTCTTTCTTTTCTAAATTGCCCAGTCTTGAGTATGTCTTTACTGGCAGCTTGAAAACGAACTAATAGACATGTCCACTGTCTTCCTTTGTGTGCAGCTGCCCAAGGTTCTTGTAGGTTGTGTGTACTCACTCTCCATGCAAAGCCCTCCCGTGGCCTCCTCACAGCTCAGCACTACACAGTCCCCTCTGTACAGCCACATGGCCACCTTCTCCAGAGAGCTTTGATTGTCTTCCCTCAAAAGAACACTCTGCATTGCATTTTTCCCATAGCACTTCTGTTTGTTAAGGCAGTAAAGTAGACAGATTATCTCCCAACTGGAAAAAAATGTCTCCAAATGCAGGATTCGTTCATTCATTACTTCATTAAATGTGTATTGAACGTTGACCACATCCTGGAACCCACGCTAAATGCTGAAATGGGAGGGGTGGACCGTCCCCCCAGGAGGGAGGTGCTCAGAGAGGAGGTCATCACTGGTGAGGGACACCAGGCGAGGGGCAGAGACCCACCTGCCAGACACCGGTGTGGTCCTGCTGTGATTCAAAGCATCCTGTTAGTAATAGACACAGACACATGTTCCAATGACAGTGACTTGTAACAAAATTTAATCTTGGCAAATGTGTATTATTAAGATGGCTAAATACTTTCCAGATAGGAATTAGGTGTTGAAAATTGAAGCTGAAGTAACAAAGTGTCTCATACTGAGACATCCTTTCCTTCCGACAACTCTTGGTTCTGCTCCAATGCTGTTCAAACATGCATGCAGGAATAGCTGGAGTGAGTGGCTGAGCCTGTAGAGCAGCTGCTGGACTCTAACCCTCTTAGCCGTGTGTGCCCAGGGTCACCCATTCACCAAGCAATGCTGGATCCCTTCCTACGTCCCGGGGCTCACAGGTTAGAGTCAACAACATGGACACAGTGAGGTTTTATGTGCATTCCCAAGTTTAAAAACATTAATCACAGTTTTAGGAGGGGCTTCTCCTCACTTCTACCGGGACTGGGCTCTGGTTGAGGGCAGCTGTTACCCATTTTATAAACAGATGAGCAGAGCCAGTGATGCCAACTGGGGAGCTCTGAGATTCCTGGGGAGCTGAGAGAATCACTGCTGGGAAGGACCTGAGTCCCTGGACTCCCACCCACAGCCGGCTCTGGGGGCCCCCACGGCTGCTGCAGAGGGGGAGGTAAGGCAGGCATGATCTCTTTTCATTATTAGTCTTTAGCTCTAAATGCTTCTGCAGGAGCCCAGGCTCTGGGGAGCTGGACGGACCACACAGGAGTCCAGAGCCCTCAGCCTGACGAGACCCAGCCTCCCTCCATGGCTGCTTCCCGGCGGACCCACCACCTACTTGTCACGAAGGCAGGGAGCATCACTGGCCTGAGCCAGCTTGCAGTGGGGAGGGTCCCCAGGGCAGAGGCCAGTGCAGATCCCCAACAGCAGCAGGGTGGGCGGCTCCAGGAAGCAAAGCCATCTACCGAAGGAAAGGGCCCAGAAAGGGAATCATGTGGCTTGGACACGCAGCAGCACCCGGATCTCTAACTGGAGCCCACACTCCCTGGGCCCCTGCTTCAGAATACCTGGTCTCCTGTCCGTCTTTTGAGCTGGAAGTGGTGCCAATTACTATGATATTAACTCCAGCAAACAGCAGTTAATAAGCACTTCCAGTGACGTGTCAAGGGCCTCTATATTTGGAGAGCAGGAGGCATATTTCCCACTATACCACCTGCCATGGACTGCAGGAGTCCCCGCAGCATTCTGTGGTGAGCTTGTCACCCCCAGTGTGATGCCTCTGGGCATGATGAGGTCAGCAGGGTGGAGCCTCACAAATGGGATCAGTGCCCTCACCGACGAGGCCCCTGGAGCTCTCCTGCTTCCTCTGCTGCGTGAAAACACGTGAGAAGTCAGCAGCTGCAGGAGGCCCCCATCGGAGCCCAGCCCTGCTCATGCCCTGATCTCCGACTTCCAGCCTCCATAACCGAGAAATACGTGTCTGTTCTTTAAAAGTCACCTGCTCCGTGGTGTTTTGTTACAGATCCCAAACTAGGACACCACCCATGAAATTCACATACCCCTTGTTCATGGACACCCGGAACTAAATAAATGTCATTGAATGTCTTGGGCCATCCGGCAAATGTCTCTGGGAATGCAGACATGAATTCACCTCAGCAACATACTCGCATGTCAAAGTCTCAGGCATGTAATTGTTTATCTGTACAGCGTATCTCCTTATGGTGGGTGCAAGAGAGGCGCACAGATACACACACCCTGTGATCCACATAAGAGAGGCCTGGTATTGCGTACCCAGGGCTGGTGCGTGCACACGTGTGTGTGTGTGTGTGTGTGGTGTGTGTGTGAGCCCGCTCCCACGTGCCGGGTTGGACGTGCACAGATTCACAACACAGGTGCTCTCCTCACAGTCCCTCCAAAAAGGGGGAAGGAAAAAGGAAAGCATCCGAAGAGGTGCGCTGGAGGCTGGAGGACTGCAATCAGATAAACCAGTGTTTCTTCATCATTGTACATTTTTAAGTTAGGCGAAGAGACCACTGACCCCTTTCCATGGAGCCCTAGACCTCCCCCGAGGCACTGAAAGAGACTTCAGCGACAGAGATCCGCCCTACAAGGGGACCAGCGCTGGCGGCAGTGGCACCCCCTCCCACCGGGCATCCTCCCAGGCCATGAGACATTTGATTACATGAAATGTAAGGAAATCACTTTTCCAGATAAAAACTGTTCTTTGGCAGATACCCTCTTCTCTTCATTAAATATTTAATATTCTATATCCAGCATTGTATTAGAAATTTGATCTCAAATGTCAAAAGTTTAGGTGTGGTGCTAAGACTCAGGTTGTCAGTATGGAATAAATTATCCCTGATTTTCTGAGAATTGAAATCTCCGCTGGGGGGCCGTCCTCAGTTCCCTGGTTCTAAATGGGCGGGGATCGGGGAAGGTGGGATCTGTAAACATTGGCCCATTCGTGGCACAGCATCTGTGGCCACTTCCACGCCACAATGGCAGGGCTGAGTAGCTGCCCAATAGACCACATGACCTGCGACACCCAGCTGGTTATGGGAAAAATCTGCCACCCTGTTCTAAAGGAACTGAGGCGTGTCGGCACTGGCAGGCGCACAAACCCACACTCGCCTTGGTAAGGCTTGGACTGAACTTGGGCACAGGAGCGGACCAGGGCATGGGGCCCATTGCTGGGCCAGAGACACCAGCCCGATTAGAAGGGGCCTCCCAGTGCTGGAGATGGGAAAGCCCCAGATGGAGGTGGGTCCCTTTGGACACCATGGGAGGAGAAAGGCTAGACCTTCTCTTACTCCACAGAGGTGTCCCCAAATGTGGAAGTGGAGACAGGGGTCAGGCCCTATGTTTCTGAGCAAGACAGGGCCAGGATTCCAGGGACAGCAAATGTGACTCTAAGAGGCCAGTGATGCAGAAGCCAGAGCAGCCCCTTCCTTGGAGATCTGGGCTGTCCCTGGCTGCAGACTCCCCACAGGCTGCCCATGGCCTGGGACCTGTGCACATCAGAGAGGGGCTGGCCCTGGCAAGTCTTATTCTCATGCAGAGGAGTCAGCCCTGGGACAGAGGGACAGTCTGCTGGCCAGTCAGAGCCCACTCAGGGAAGCACAGTCACCAAGACCTAGGGGAAGGCGGCATGGGGGAGGGAGGAATTGGCCCCCACCTGCCTAAGAAAGCTGGAGAACTTCAGGTCCAGGAGGCCCAAAGGGGCCACCAGCCAGCCAGTGGGCTGGGTTTCCCAGGATGGCCCGACTCTGATGCCAGCAACAATGACTCCTTCCTTTGTGTTTCCAGGCTGGTGGGTAATGGCCTTGCTGTTGCTCAGAGCTCTGGGCTGCTTCTCCAGGCCCCGTGTGACCTCTCAGCCACCCCAACTCTGGTTTAACTATGTCCTGGTGTTAAGTCTCATGTTTGCCTCGCTGGACTCCTAATGCGGGGGACAGGTGCTCAGAATGCTCGTCCCTTTGGACCACACAAGGATGTAGGCTTGGGCCCAAGTGTACATTTCCATCCACCAAAGTCTTGGCAGAGATCTGGGAAGCAGAGTGGTTGGAGAGGGTCAGAATGTGAATGGCACATTTTAAAGAACCAGGGGTGACGTCAACTCAGCATGAAGCCACAGCAACCAGGGAGCCACAGGTTACTTGCACACAGGGGCAGAGCAATGACGATGGCAGCTCTCTGGGTCCAGGTATTGCAAAGTACAATGCCCTGGTGCAATTTCCTGCCTCACTGCGGCTGACCTGGCCCCGTCCCCGAGGTTGCTGAGCACCGTGGTCCGTAACGCCCTTCCTGCTCAGCTGGACGTGGGCTTCAGTCCTGGCTCTCATCAGTTCTGTAAAGTAGAAATAGTGAAAGTCCCTTCCTCCTACAGCCTTCATGAGAGACAAATGTCATTCAATACAAAATTTCTAAAACACTGTTCCACATTTTCTGCCTCCATTTTCTCATTGTTCAGTCCCTTTGCAACTATTTGCAAAAAAAAAAAAAAAAAGAACTGCGTCTGATTAGAAGTAACTTTGACAAATTCGGGTTAGGTTGTCAAATACATCACCCCCATAGAGTGCAGCGTCACACCTCTCGTCAGGCAGTCCTTTCTGTTCTCATTCTCCTGCTCGTTCACTCCAAGCAGCACCTCTGGAAAACGCTGCTTAGTGATGAAGACTCTTTCTGTAGGAGACAGACGCTCTTGGTTGGACTCCACTTTTTACCCCTATTCCTCCCACTGGGGAGAAGACCCTCAGCATTCCACCTCAGAAACATTGTTCTTCACCACAATAAAAGGATTACTTCTTTGGGGGAAGAGACTTTGTGTAGACGAATGTTGGATCAAAGAACAAGGATAGCTTGGACCAGCCGATCCCTCTGCTTCTCTCTTGAAGAGCATCTCTCCTGAGACCCGCCCTCCATATGCCCGCTGAGCGCTGGCTGCCCGTTGGCCTGGGTGATCATGCTCACTGGGGCTGCAGTCTGCCTGGAAGCCCCCGCCCACGGCTACCAAAGGCACCTGCTCGCGTCATCCGTCCTGGAGACCAAACCCCAAATTCATTTTCAGTCTCCTGTTTTTCTCTAGAAAGGACCAAGAACTTTTGAAAGCAACTCATCATTACTAATTAAATGAAATTTAGGTTTCATAGAAGCAACTCATCTTTTATTCAAATTCATGTTTTGTCCTTTAAATGGCATTGGATAATGTGTGAAGTAGAAAAGTTCCTTTTAAAAGTTTTCTTTCTTGTTAAAGAATGAGTGTGCTAATAACTCTGTTAAGCCCTAACCTACGTGGCTGTTAGATAGGCTGCGCTTACAGGCACGTAGCACATTCTATATGTGGTACGTTAACCAAGCTATGGGTGCTGGACGTGCTCACAGGCATGTGCCATCTCTCCAATGCTTTCACCTGTTTAGGAAAGTTTGAAGTCATTAGCCAGTCGTGTTTCAGTGAGACATGGTAATTTTCCTTTGCGCACTGCGCATCTATTTCCAACAGATAAGTTACATTCCTGCTATAGTGTCATATATATGATCATAAACAGTGACTGCGGGTGAACAGGTGCCACAGCATAGACACAGCGGTGGTGGCAGCACAGCATCTGTGGCCCTGTGCCCTCTCCCAGGCTCCAGCGGCTCCATCTCTGGAGGGTTTGGAGAGCCCTGGGCAACCTGGCAGGCCGGCGACGTGATGGTGATTCCAAGAGGACCTCTGTAGTTTCCCTGATTCCCAAGGTGCTTGTTCATTCATCAAAATGAACACCGGGCTTATTGGTTCACGTCTGTATTCCTAGTACTTTGGGAGGCCAAGGCAGGTGGATCAGGAGGCCAGGAGTTCAAGACCAGCCTGACCAATATGGTGAAACCCTGTCTACTAAAAATACAAAAATTAGCAGGGTGTGGTGGTGTGTGCCTGTAGTCCCAGCTACTCGGGAGGTGGCAGCAGAAGAATCACCATAAACTAGAAACCACTCACGCCATCCACGTTCTCTCTCTTCTCTCTGATCTTAGTGGCAACGAATTTAATTCACTGCTCTGCTACGACTTGCTGAGAAAGCGCATGTGGAGCAGCGGGTAGATGATGGAGAATGCTTCTCATCTGTGCTAGTCCGTTCTCACGCTGCTGTGAAGGAAGGAATGCCTAAGCCCGGGGAACTGATAGAGAAAAGAGGCTTAATTGACTCACAGTTCCACATGGCTAGGGAGGCCTCGGGAAACTTGCCATCACGGGAGAAAGCACCTCTTCACAGGGCGGCAGGAGAGAGGATGAGTGCCAGCAGGGGAAATGCCAAGTTGTTATGAAGCCATCAGGTCTCATGAGATTCACTGACTATCCTAAGAACAGCATGGGAGAAACTGTCCCCATGATTCAGTGACCTCCACCTGGTCCTACCCTGGACACGTGGGGATTATTACAATTCGTGGTGAGATTTGGGCGGGGACACAGTGCCAACCCGCATCACCATCGCCTCAGGAGTCCCAGCAGTTTGAAGATATCTACCGGGAGTTCCTCATGGTAGCTGCTAGGGCAAGGCAACTAGAAAGGACATCCCAGGGCTTCCTGCTGTGTCCCGGACTACAGCTGCTGCTCGGGGTTTGTGGGTGAAGATGGAACCAGGAGGGGCAGCACCCACCATCAGCTGCCCCTGCCCGCGCCCTCCTGCTGCTGACTCAAGACAGATCAGTGCAAGGCTACAGTCCCGAATGTCAGCTCAGACTCCAAATAGAACCTTACAAAACCATCTCCTGCCCACCCCAGCCCCACCCCAGCTCCAGCTCCTGATGCACAGGGGAAAATAACCAACTGTTGGGCTGAGCGTGGGTGGTGGCTCATGCCTATAATCCAAGCACTTTGGAAGGCTGAAGTGGGAGGACTGTTTGAACCCAGGAGTTCCAGTCCAACCTGGGCGACACAGGGAGACTGTCTCTACAAATAAAAAAAGAAAAAGAAATTAGCTGGGCATGATGGTGTACTTTTGTGAGTCCAGATACTCTGGGCTGAGGCTAGACGATGGCTTGAGCCCAGGAGGTGGAAGCTACAGTGAGTCATGGTTGTGCCTCTGCGCTCCAGCCTGAGTGATAGAGTGGGGTCATCTTTAAAAAGGTCAAATTAACTGTTGACTCTTTTAGATGTTTCTCCTACCATTCTATTTTGTATTTTAAGTAACACGTTTATATTACTACTTACTGATTATTTAGGATGGGAAGCTGGGTACCAATGGTCTCCTGTGGAAGGTGATAACTCAGTGGATGTGCTCCTCAAACCACTACACACACACACACACACACACACACACACACATGCGCGTTCACAACCCCCGTCCAAAGTAGGCTACAGTTTCCTTTCTTTGCACAGATTTTTCTTTTTCTTTGTTTTTTTCTGGATTTCACAATTTTCTTTTACCTATCACGCCCCTGCACCCAAACTTTCTATTGGAGCTGGAAGATTCCTCGAGGTGCAGGGAAGCACATCAGGCCATGGGCAGCCCCTTTCTCCATCCTGCTCCCCGAAGACCAGCCCCCACCCCCGCTCTCCTGGGGGCTCCCCTTCCCCCTTCACCTGCTGGCTCACACTTTTCCATGTCTGGGGCTGTGCGTGGGATCCTCCTGCATTTTCTAGTTTGAAACATGACAATTAGCTTTTGGGGGAGAAAATGCACACAGGATCTTTTATTGAGACTGAATGTTTGAAAACACTTTGACATTTTACCTTGACATTTGAAACCTTAGACAATGTTTTAGAAAT